TGCCCACTGTGCTTAAGACCAGAAGATAGGTGTGTGTAGATGGGGAAGAGAGACAACCTTGACTAGATCAATTTGAAATTGGTTTTCACTTGAGGGAAAGAGATGAAGAACATTTTACTTAAACTTTTAAAATTCTAGAACATACCAAAAATCTGTACTGAGTATTGCCCTCTAAGCTGTAGATGCTTTTGGATATAGAACTGTATCATATAGTATTGGGCACTGCACTGACAGATCACCCCTTCGGCAGGGCCATCCCCAGGGTGTTGCAGTATGACTGTTATCAGTCACATTCTAAACTGCAAGGTCGGTGATGTTGTACATAGTAGATGCTCAGTAAATAAAGATGGATAGATTGTGTGGATGGGCAGAAGGAGAAGCGGCAGAGATGCTGAAAAGGCTTCATTACCAATGTACAGCACTGTTTCGCTAAGGATCATGGGTCTATGCTTTGTGGACCTGTTTCACTCCTACCAGTCTTCGCTATGTCCCAGGGGTAACTCGCCAACAGTGTGCTCTGGCCTAGCGTCTAGTTCTAAGGGTCCCTGCTGCTGCAGTTGAGCCTTCAGAGTCTGGGAATCTGGTGTGATGGCAAAAGTACAGGCCTTGGAGTGGAAACCTGACTTCCGATTGTTACTCTGTCAGTGAATACCTCAGATTCTTTCCCATCGTTTGATGGCTGCACAGCCCTTGAGTCAGTACCTCTATCTCCTCGAACTTTGTTTCCATCTATAAGCAGAGAGAAGATTCACATTTTCCCAATGGTATAAAACATGCACTTAACATTAGCATCCTCCCTGGCCCCATGCCTTCTCATCATTGGGATGCTTCGAACTTTAACCATAGCCTCAAAAAACAAAACAAAACAAACAAAAAAAAGCAAATCCACAGGGGACCTCTTGAGACAAGACTTAAGTTACCCAAGAGCTGTGGTTCTTGATCTGGGATGGGTTTTCCATCAAGGAATGTGTGGCAATGTATAGACGCTTTGGTTGTCTCAACTGGTGTGTGGAGTGGGTGGTGTTGGCAGGGATGGGTAGAGGACAGGGACGCAACCTGCAAGAACAAAGAATTCTCTGGGATAAAATATCAATAGTATAGAGTCTGACAAACCTTAAGCTAGAGTAACTTATGGTCCTTCCTGATGACCCTATGACCCAGTCCAATCCTTTCTCATGAAATGCGTATTTTTGTTCCCCAGGCTAGCGGTAGGGTAGGGGTTGGGAGCAAGTCAGGTTTTGAAAGAACAGAAGGATACCAGGAGAGGGCTATTTCTCCTAGTAGCCCTACGTGGAACACCCTTTTTCACGTCCCAATCTTCAAAGCCCAGCTCAATCCCAGCATCCTCTATGGTATCTTCTCTGAGCACCCAAGGGTTCAGTTCTCCCTGGCTGAGCCCTGGGAGCTACGAGGCTGGTGTGTTGGTATAGCACTTAAACCGCATACATCTCCTCGGAGGCCCTTCATTCTCATTTTCACACATGCACCATATACATTGAGACCGGAGCAATTAGGATTCACACCTTCCTATGTACTTCCCACAATGGAAGAGGAGAGCAGGGAGAGGGAGTGCTCCTGGCAAGGCTCTGGTGAAGGCTGTTTGGAAACCTCTTTTGAAAGTGGCTGCTAATGGACTGATAATTGGTTTCCTGCCTTCCTTTGAAGTGTGAAGTGCTCTGCTAGCCTGTCAACAAAGCATCAAGGACTATGCAAACCACCCTCAGAGTTATTTGTATCTTCCCACTGTGGCTCTGGGACAGCAGTGACTGCGGGAGGATGCTTGGGAGAGGCTTTCCAATCTCTAGTCAAGAAGACGCTCAAACAAGCAGAACTTCTGGAAGGGAAAGAATATGTGTACCCTTGCCAGTGTGCTCTCCCCAGGACAGCCAGGATGAGCTTATTCTCTAAAGCAGAGTGGGAACAGCTCTGAACCTAAAGCCTGGTGCCTGGCACAGGGCAGACAGTCAGCATGGCTGATTTTAAGCAGTGGTCCTTGGAGATGTGACTCAACTGAGGAGGACAAAACAGTGAGAGGAAAGGAGTTGGATCCCTGTTCTCAGTCGAAATGCTTTTCAATGTGAGAGCCATCATCTTGCTGCAAACCTAGAAGGGAAAAGGCAGTCTGCAGAGCATCCACCAGTGAGAGGGCAACTCAAAAGCCAGCCAAGTGATTCTGAAGTCGCTGCTTGCTGCAGAAAATGCTTGCAGACATGGAGAGGGAGCTTGTGTATGTTGGGTGGGGGGTAGCAGGGCAATTCCCTAGTAAGGAGCTGTTTTTGAAGAAAATTCTTCCACCAAAGAACAATGCACTGCTTCAGACTTTCTTGGACAATTGTTCAAAGAAATTTCAGCTATCAAAATAATTTCCCCAGTCTCCTTCTAACTCCTATGAAGGAGAGAGCAGCATTGTTTTGCTAAGTACTGTGTTGATGTTTCCTGTGACTAATGTGGGGTAACACTCAAGACGGTTATGTTGCTTTTTGCCAGGGGTGCTTTTCTGTGCACGGTTAAGGAGCACAGAGCGGCACAGAGCGGCAACCTTACTATTATATTTTTATAGACATTTATAGACACTGTCCCTTTTCTATTGATCAGAAACAATGTTGTATTTATTTGATCTTGAGCCAGGGGCAGAAGTGTCCCTCAATCAAAGTGTGACCCGCTCTGTGATGGCCCAGTTTATGGAGCAGTTTTCAAGCATTCACCGTGGAGAGTGTGGGGGACTACTCTTGGCATAGCTATCTTTGGCTATAAATACGATCCTAGAGATGTAGCATTTGGAGGGTGAGAAGGAAGGCTACCCTGTTGGGTCAGACAGTGTGTGGAAAGGAGGTTACTCTGGCTACAGTTGAGAAACTGAGCTGGGGGTAAGAATTGAGTCTCTAGGCTTTGAATCTTGAGTGATCTCAGAATATCAAGGTGACTTTGTTATCGTCACCCCTTCACTAGCAGCCTGTGAGCTCCCTGGGGGCAAAGCTAGAACCTGTGGAAATATGATTTAGAGACCGGGGACTCAGCAGAGAACAGGCCAATGGCAGCCCCTCATATTCATGAGAGACAAGCGCAACCTTGCTCTGTGGTGCAGAGGCATGGGGACAGTGGGCTCTCCCTGGCCTCCTCCACTCAGGCTCGCTCCCTGGGACTCAAACCGTGTTCTGCTAGACTTAAATATTCAGATACAGCTAAGTGATGGGACATGACACCCTCTCCTCCTCTTTCCCAGAACTTTCTAGAAGACATGTCATGTGGCTGCCCAGGGTGCTTACTTCACAGTTCTCACCAACAGATCCCTCGCCCTTGCTCCAAGCCCTAGAGAGCTCGGACCCACAGCTCCGGGGCACAGCTTCCTCCGTCTCTTTCTGTTCCGCCTATTTCAAGCAGGACCTTCAGCTGTTTCTGGAGATGAAGGACCTTCTGGGTAGCACTGCAAGGTGCTCTACCCTTAGTGAAGGTTCTAGAGAAGTGTTCTAAACTACTCCTCAGAAGTGCAGTCAAGTGCCGTCTTGGAGGATTCCATTGACTACCACCCCCTCCTGGGGGCACTCTACTTGCTACCCGCATTTTTTGGCTTTTCGGGCCCAGAGCTCTGTCCTACTCTGTGTACTTCTTTCAACTTTGATCCATCTTTCTGTCCTGAAGTCCATCTTCCTTCAATCAGTCTTGTATTGTCTAGATAGATTTCAAAAATTAAGCCTTATGCTCTCTGGAGGATCTCATGGTCTGGAACCCCCAGCTAGAAGCAACAGGACTTGTTCTATGCCTCCTGCTGGGCTTGGCTCCTCTATGTTGTCAGAACCTTTGTTCCTGCTTACTCTGAGCTGCCCTAGCTAACTGTCCCTTTTCTTATCCTCACTGCTCCCAGAATGCTACAGGGCTAGCACTGGAGGATCCTGTTCTCCATTTGCATGGAGGGACAGAAATAGACAGACACCATGCATTAGTTTTTTTTTTTTTTTTTTTCCAGTAAGGGTGATTTGCTCCATATGAATCTAAGAGTGACTTGATCTTTAAACCTCTGAAGAATTTTTACATAAATAAACTCATAAGCCATTAGAAACGCTTTGTCAGACAAAACAATTATTTTCCTTAGAACAGTATAATCACTGTGGTATGACCAAGCTTGCCAACTCACCCTCATCATCACAAAAGTGCTGGCAGGCTCCCCCACCCTGAGTCCCAAGGGGCTCTCACTCTGTGGCATGCAGAATTCAGAGGTCCTGAGTTGCCCACTGAGGTGGGTGAAGGATGAGAGGGTCAGGCAGAGTGCCTTTCCCCGAGAACACATAGAAAGCACTGAAGGAGGCAGAGTGGTGGGGGGAGAAGAAGAGGTGACAGCCCAGAGAAGCCAGAACCTTGGACTGCCTGGCATCGACTGTACCTGGCCTCCCATCATCAACAGACCCTCACATTTACAATCCCACCGTGACTAAGGACTCTTGATGTCATTGGCGCCGCAAAGTACCACCAGCATGTTCCAGAGGAACCATGACAGGTTTCCTATTATGTCCATGAAATGAACCTCTCAACCCCAATCTCCTGAGAAGTTCAGCAATGCAAGGACGGCTGGAGTCCCATCCCCCCAAAGCCACACAAGAGGTAGTGATCATGGGAAGCATGTCTTGCAAGGCCTTGGATTCTTATAGTACTCCGAGGGTTGGTATGGACGTGCCAGGCCTGCCCATCCCTCATGATTGCATGATATTGTGGTGACAAGCTTGAGGAGAAATGTCTTGGTTTGACCTTTGTGGGCCATGCTCAGGGGACTCTACCTTGCTATAAGGATCACTGAATGCTGTTGAAGAAGGTCCCCAAAAGGTCAAGAGCTGTAGTCTACATTACTGCCAGAGATGGGGACCCAGCCAGCCACCTTTCCAGGAACAGGAAAAACCACCTTGAGTGGAGCTGTGGACACCTACTGCAGATTTCCAAGGACAGACCTTAGCTAGGAACTGGGCCTGCCTCTCTGGGGAGCCTGGCAGTGGCCGTCCCCGCTCACTTACACACGCAGCCTGGCTTCTTAGCTGACCATTGGTTATTCTTTTGGCATGTGATTGCCTTCTGCCCCACCAGCTCAAAGGCAGGCTGGCATTCAAACTTGAGTGTGTCACCATGGCGAAAGCGAGAACCTTCTCTCCGGCCATAGGCAGGTATGCCGGGGTCCCCGCAACTGCCCTGCTCGATTTCTGAAAGACAAGAAAACAGGAAACGAGACAAAAACAGTGACTTTACACCTGACCTGGAGGTACAGGTCCCCATGACATGCTCTGTTGCCCTCCTACCATGAGTCAGTGCTCAGGATACATGGGAGCCCCCGCCACCAAGTCTTCCCCACCATGATGGACTGTATCTCCGCAAACCATGAGATAAAAGAAATCCTTAAGTTGTTTCTGTCAGGAATTCTGTCAAAGTGAGGGGAAGCCTTACACAGGGAACCTTCATTCCTCATGAGAGATCTGTCCCAGGAGCTAACAGGTTCCAAAGCTGGAAGACTTCCTACCTGAACTTTCCTATGCATCGGATTATGAACATTGCTGGGGAGACTTTATATACAGTCCATCTGAGCAGTGGAGGCAAACACGGGCAAGAAGGTGGCAGCGGCCATGGAGCCTGTCCTTGTTGCAAACCCCAGTGCACAGGAATCAATACCGACTGCCTTCTGATACAAAAGCTCTTTCAAGCCGAGTGTGGTGGTGCACACCTTTAATTCCAGCACTTGGGAGGCAGAGGCAGGAGGATCTCTGTGAGTTCAGGGCCAGCCTGGTCTACATATCGAGTTCTAGGCCAGTTGAGGCTAGAGACCAAAAAAAAAAAAAAAGCACTTTCAGGATTCTTTTTTAGATTCGATTTGAGACGGTAGCAGGTGAAATGAAACAAACAGCTCATTAAATACACTTTTAAGTTTTGTTTGAGCCAATGGTGGCAAGTCAGCCTTGGCGAGGGGGGCCCAAGACAACCCTGGAGACAGGGACTCGGCAGTGTGATGGGCTCTTTGTAGAAGTCAGCCAGGCCCCAGGTGCTTCGGGGAAGGCGTCTGTCCTAGTGTTATCCCAAGAGTCACCCCACAGCCCCTTCTCCCTATCTGTACTGTGAGATGAGGAAGGGTTGGAGGAGGAACTCTGCCCAGAGAGGAAGATGTCTTAGGTGGAAAGACAGAAGTCATTAAGGAGGTGTCAGGTGCTGAAGGAACCAGAGATTTGGGAGAAAGGGGCCTGGAGTCATTGGGAGAGCGCTTTGAGTGGTTTCCTAGGACTCGCAGGCTCAGAGGACCCTGCCTTTTCAGTAGATGTCATTATCGGTGTCCTGAAGTCGCTGTGTGACTCTACCAAAGTTCTCTTGGCTGTGAGCTTTTTCTTTGGGCTGATCAGAGCTGTAAGGCTAGTCCCAGGCTCTTGACTGTCACATTTACGTTATCCTCCCTCCCCGAACAAGGCTGCATCTGCTGAGAGTAGGCAGAACAAGGCATTCTGTACAGGGACACCTTCTCCGTGTCTCTGTTTCTGTCCCTCTCTCTCTATAATCAAAGTGAAACATCAGGGGTCCTTGAGGGTAGGTGTCAGTATGACCGTGTGTTAGGATCAAGGAATCTGCAGTCCAAGTCGGCTCACCTACCTCTCCTCTCAAAGTCTTTGGCCTTACTCTTGACACTGCCTCCTACCCACACAACTAAACTTACTTCTAGACCCTCCTTTGAAGCTGGCTTTGTGCATACTTAGGGAACAGGTGAGGACACACTGGCTCAGTCCAGGGGAGGCCCTCCCCCCAGGTTCCAGAACTGCAGCCATTTGAAGGACAGGAGGAAGGGACCCATGACAAAGTGACCTGGCAAAGCAAACAGTAGAACCCTCCTCTCAGTGTGCCCAGAAATTCTCTTTGGGATTTAAATTCTTGGGGTATAAGAACTGCCACAGGAGCAACAATAAATGTTACCCATCCATAGACAGCTGAGTCCAGCGGCCAGGGAGCAGGGTCCAGATTTAAGGTCCCCTCATGAGGTCCCACCATACCATACAAGGCACCCGTGGGGTACATTTGCCTGCGTCTCTGCCCTCAGCTTGCCGAGGCTGTGACTGGCTCACAAGAACAGGCATCTTGGGATAGGGTGTCTCCTCAGCCTCCATTGTGTAGCCATAGCACTTTGTACCTACCCACACCTGCCAAATTTCTCCCCATCAGCAAGGCAATCACAGGCCTATAATAAGCACCTGCTCTGAGCTGGGGTCTGTGCCAGGCACCAAAGATGCAGCTACAGTCTCTATTATCTCGGATCAACCACAGGAGGAAACAGGCCGAAAGGAGAGACAGAGAGTGAGGTGCACAAAATGTCAAGGGCTCCAAGGGCTCAGTAAGGCAAAGAAATAATATTTATTTATAATTACTCTTATAAGGACAGCCAAATCGTAAAACAATATAGCATCTTTAAAGCAAATCACAGTATATATTGCACACGCACACACACGCACATGCACACGCACACACATGTTGACAATGAAGGGAAGCAGCAGTGATTACAGACTGAATCCAGCTTTGTACTTGGATGGCCCATCTCACTTTTATCCTCATCCTGTACTTTAACTTAGCTTATCTTCATTTAAAATACTACTTTTTAAAATCTTGACTAGTTCATGTGAATACTAATTTTAAAATATTTTCTTAAAACACTATTACTCTTAAGTTTTGGGTTTCACTCTTAAATTGTGTGCCCAAGGCAAGTCCCAGCCCTAGGGGGAAGGTTTCTTAGAGAAGATGACGGCTGAGCTGAGACCTCAGGAGATGGAGGGGCCTGCGGTGAAAGGCCTGGTGGTGAGATTGGGAGGAAGGACCCTCCGGATGGAGCTGGAAGAGGTGAGCCCAAGTCTTGGAATCTCCAAGAGTCTGTGGAGGACTGCGACACAGCAGTGAGCAAAACTACTGAACTGTCACTATCATGTTCAACTTTTAGTTACGGGGCTAGTGATTCGGGCAACGGTTATTTGCAAGTAGAAATTGTGAGCATCTATCATCTATCTATCATCTATCTATCATCTATCTATCTGTCTATCATCTATCTATCTATCTATATCTATCTATCTATCTATCATCTATCTATCTATCATCTATCTATCTATATCTATCTATCTATCATCTATCTATCATCTATCTATCTCATCTATCGTCTATCATCTATCTATCGAGCTATCATCTATCATCTATCAATCTATCAATCTTAAAAATCAATCTGATCTAGCTATCTATCATCTATCTATCTATCATCTATCAATCTATCTATCATCTATCTATCTATCTATCTATCTATCTATCTATCTATCTATCTATCTATCTATCTATCTATCTATCTATCTATCTATCTATCTATCTATCTATCTATCTATCTATCTATCTATCTATCATCTATCTATCTATCTATCAATCATCTATCTATCTGTCAATGAATCATCTGTCTATAAACATATATATTGATTCACATCACCCTGACAGCAACCCCTGAGAGATACTATTTTCTCCTATTGTAAAGGAGAAGATACAGTCACAGAGACAGCACATAACCATCCAAGATCATAGAGTTCCGAAGTGATGGATCTAAGATCCAAACTGGGTTGCATAGCTCCAGGGCTCCAGGGCTCTCTGCCTTCAGTAAGTTCAAATACTTTCTATAAGCCGATGAGAGATAGGGCTAGAAAAGGCTCTGCTGTGCAGGGCCAGCCCATGGGGCCTGTGCAATCCACCAGGAAGACTGGATTTTATTTTTTCAAATTTATTATTTTTATTTTTATGTGTATGAGTGTATTGTCTGCACATATGTAAGTGTACCTGTGTCATGCAATGCCCCCAGAGACCAGAATAGAGCACTGTATTTCCCTGGAATTGGAATTATGGATGGTTGTTAGCTGCCATGTGGGTGCTGGGAATTGAACCAGGGTCCTCTGCAAGCAGTCAGTGGCCTTAAGCACTAATCATCTCTTCAACCTCCAAGACTGAATGGTAGACAATGGGAAACAAAAGAATTCTATTTTATTTAGCAATAGATACTTGTATGTGTGAATGATCACTCTGACCCTGACTGGAGAATGGTCTAGGGACAGCCAGCCTTCATATCTATTCACTCAACAAATATGGGCATGTGCACTTAGTGTGAACCACTATGTAGCAGGGAGTGCGGTGGAGACCAAGGCAGATAGATAGATGGGGAGCCTCTGTGCTCACAGGAGGCTCACAATAACCTGGGAGATGTTCTGAAGGCAACATGCATGGGTACAGACAGACGGGATGGAGAGAGAGCCGGGAAGATGTGAGAAGTCTGAAGCAGACACCAAGGGAGGGACCAGGGCCTACCATGCCTGAGGGACCTGCCTGTGCAGGAACGTGGGAGAAGAAGGCATGGGTCTGCACAGAGGGTCATCACACAGGCATGATGAGCTTTGAGGAATTACCAAAAGAAAAGGTAAGAAAAGGTGTGGTCTAGAAATATGCAATTTGGGATGCAGCTCATACGTGAGCCAGGAGAAGAATGAGACCAACCAAGCAAGAGCTGTCCGTAGTGCTGCAGGACTACAGCCTGGGGCGTGGGGCTCCAGAGCTTAGAGGAGCACCAGCTGAGGAGGCCGACAGACTCAGTGTCAGGGAACTCCGGGGTTGGACTGGAAAGCATAGTATCAAAAGGAGGCCAGAGCTGGTGCTCTGAGAGAGGAGAATAATGACCAGGGAGAGAGGGAAAAGAAAATTAGGTATTACGTAGTAACTCTTAGGTAGCAACCTTTGGAGATGATTACAAATATATATTTTTTAATGGAATGAGTTTGTCCACATTCAAATGCCTGTGAAGACCAAGAGAGGAAGGGAGGCTGGTTGGGATGAAAGGATTCACTGAGGCCATGAAGAAGTAGAGAAAGACAGCTGGAGGCCCCAGAGGAGGCAGGTGGCGGGGACCATGCTAACCTTGGTGACCAAGGCAGAAACTTCTTTCTCCACTGACAGGGAGAACAGGGACAAAATGCAGCAATGAGTTTTAAGGTGGTGAGCAAGAGGTCATGGGCTTTGGTAAAGATGAGGTACCAGTCATGGGGCCAAGGACGGGATGTTGACAAGACCTTGTGAAGCTGTCACTCTGGAGAACAGGAGACTGCAGTTCAGGGCTCCGTGGACAGCCATATGCCTGTGGCCCACTGAGGATGCAGCCTCTCTTGCA